AAAAAAAAACAGCTGAGATTTCCTTGAAAATGAATGTTTCTTTTTAAAAAAAATAAAATGAAAGAAACTTAACCAGGTAAAGATCTGTTTTGTGATTTAGGATGGAAGGCAAATGGATATTTCTAAGGTATTCCGGAAGTGCATCTGCTTATGAGCTATGCAAAAATAATAATAATAATATTTTAAATTTACCTTTGGAGCTTTTTTTCGTGGGTCTGGATAGGTCACGATGTTCTTCCGCTCCTTCCTTTCGCGGTCCAAAGGCTTTGGGGAATCGTGGCAGTCAAAAGGTGAGCAAGCTGGTTCCAGGAACCAAACAGGAGGTTTTTTTGGAAGAGAGAAATAGGCCCTTGGAAAGAGGGGAAGGTGCAGAACAGAAGGCCTGGAAGTTTTCTCCTGCTCCCCAGCAGCTCTTCGGCAGAAATAAAATAGCCAAAATTAGAAAGGAGAAGAAGCAAAACTAAGGGTTGAGGGTAAAAGGGAAAGGTGTGTTGTTGTTTTTTCCCCAAACCTGCAGGTTCCTGCCTTCCACAGGTTCTTTGACAGGTTGTTGTTTTTTTCTGCAGCCTTGAAACTGCCCTATAATTTTAAATTTAATTTTTTTAAATTTAAAATTGACAATTTAAAAAAAAGAAGAAGAAAGAAAGAAAAGAGGAGAGAAAAATCGGCAAATAAAAAAAAACCAGGCCTAGTGTGTCCTTTCCCAAACAATAAACTTTTAATGCTAAAGCAGTTATATAACCAAAGGCTGTACATTGTCATCTGTGGTTTTTTTTTCTTTTTGTTAGAAAATGAAATTGTGCGGGTTTTTTTAAAAAAACGGGATTCTTTCTTTTTTTTCTTCTTCTCATAAATATTGTTCAGTTCCCGGCACTTGTCTCAATAATTAAATTACAAATGATAAATATGGCATCATGGATATGTATTTACACACAAAAGAGGTATTACAAAAAGGCAACTGTTTATACTAAACTGCCAGGGTGAAATTAATATCACACTTTTTTTTTCTCATCGTAAAAAATAGACTGAATGACACCCCTTCCCATTTCTGCCAT